GTATCTTATCTCTCTGCAACTGGAGAAGAAGTTCTTGGAGGACAGGAGTCCTACACCATAATTTCCTCTCAGTTATCTTCCAAAGTATATTCACAAACAGGCACTTACTTATTTAAGGGTGTAAGATGTATCTTGGCAGTTTCAAAAGTACAGACACTTTTTAAAAAGGAAATATCAGCTCCATTTCTTTGACAGCAGTCTTGAAAAATCTGTCATCTTATTCAGCCATACACATATATGTGTAGGAGTAAGCTGTCTTCCATAGAGCCTTCTATAATACGCAAAGTCCTATAACAAGCAACTTGCAGAGTTTTTTACATTCATCTAAAACAAGGAGACAGAACAGCCCAGTGTGGAAGAGTCTGGCTGTGGAGACAGACTGCCTGGGTTTCTACAGAGGCTCTGACTTCTTGTCCACATGACCTCAGGCAAGTCACAAAACCTCTCTGCCCTTTTGTCCCCTAATGTGTAAAAAGAGGAATGATGATAATACCTATCTCAGAGGATGTGTGTGAAAATTCAATGAGTACATATAAAATACTTAGGAAAGTGCCTACCACACAGCAGATAATTAAAGTCATTATTATCTTAGGTTAGATAATACAACTGAGTTTCTGCTATTAACATTTAGACTCTATTTTAAAGAACACGTATTTCCAAAAAAGAAAAGTAAAACCAAAGGATAATATTTTTAGGCATATGCTCTGGCCTCTCGTGGCAACTCTACAATACCAAAACCACACCTGTAGGTTAAGTGTGCTCCCACCATTGACCTTAGAAGGTTCGCAGGTTACCCTACCATGAGAAACACTATTCATATATCCATATGCAGGTAACTTTAGCAGCCTCATGGTTATGGAAATGGAATAGATCCTCAAAAATTACTACTTATTGGAATAAATGAATCAACTATGTATATTATTATACTAGGCAATTCTGATACCAGAGATCTTTAAGTGTAGAATTTTCTTTGCTAAAATATACAGGAAAAGATGTCTCTGTGTGTCCTCCAAATATATAGCAGCTATAATACACAATCCTCTCCAAGGGGATGCTTTGCTATTTTTTATATGACCTGACCTAATTAATTTCAAAATAAAAGGAAACACATCATAGTACCTGCACCAATTAAGCAACTGATTAACTGAACAGTACTAACCACATGTAGGTTCAAACATAAAGAACTGTATTTTCTTTTCTCAATTCCTTGACCTCAACAGCACTATACCAACTCCATTCCTAGCTGGAGTAGATTCCTGAAAAATACCTGGACCAGATCCCAGAATTGTCAGGTCACTCTCAGCTACTAAAAATCCACCCAGCTTAAAATGCCAATCAAATGCCTGATGCAGGGCCTTCCCCAGGGCATCTCCTAGCTATGGGGTCCCAAGAAGTAAAACTATGCCAAAACTGAGAGTGCAGGCCAACCCAAGTCTGTTTGTGTCTGCTGCCAACTTCCTTCCTTTGCCTACTGCCGGCTCAAGTGGGTGTAGGGCACAGCAATAAGTACATGCCTAGAATATTTCTTCCTTCTCACCAAGAAGATATTTCTTGCAAGCAACAGCCCCTGTATTTTCAAGAGACCTACTATTCAGCCTTCCCCTGTGTCAGCTTGTAGAAACGGAGGTGGGGTAGAGAAAGCGGTTAGTTTCTGGGCTGGTTGCTGGCTCTTTCCTTTACAAGTCCTAAAGCTTCTGCTGTAGGAAACAGGAGAAGCAATAGTGGAGGCAAAACTAACTGCCCATGGTTATGCCTGTCTTTTTCTATCTGCTCCTACACTATACACGACTGAATGACCTTGTCACGGGATTCCAAGGGCAGGGATGACATACAAATTATTTAAGAGGCAGGGGGGCAAACAGATCAGAAGGGATATGGTCCAAGGGCTGGAATAGGTCCTGCGGGCCCCTTGCAGTATCCTCCCATTGCTGGAAGGATCAGGAGGCCCCAGGGATGCTGTGGAAATTGCAGCAAGGGTACTCAGGGGGTTTGGGTCACAGTCTTTTTACTAACGAGGGGAAGAACTTGGTAACGTTAGTACCAGGACAGCTGTACTGGTGGAAACTGACTGAACATCACTCAAACTTGTGGGAGCTCATCAGTGTCCTGAGCAAAGCTGTCTCTAGTGTGTATTTCCTAATGAGAGAGACTGTCCCAGGCCTGTTCTCTGCAAACCCTCCTGCCATGATGGTCCCACGGCCTCTTGCCTGATCACACAGAACTACTTTCTATTTTTGACTTGACCTGTGGAAACTCATGCATCTTTACAGCGCCAAAACGGAGTACAGCAGGCTATTTATTCCAAACCTCTCCCTGCTGCCAACTTCCTTCAGCTCTTTTCTCACCTGGTCAGACAGGTGAAGGGCATAGCAATGTCTATGTCTAAAACACTTCTCACTTCTCACCAAAGAATGAGAAGACACCTATTGCAGGTACACCCCAATCAGGAACAAATTGTCTCGCAGAGCTGCCTTCACTTTGTTTGTCCCACACAGGGAGCAGGGATGAAGAGTAGAAAGCAATTCCTTCCTTCCCTCTTCAGAACAGGGAGGAAAACCAAAATATTCCCAATGACTGGATCGTTTTTGATAGTCCCCCTCCTACTGATGGCTTGGGGGCTGGGATAGGAATGAGAGAACCCCTAGAGGGGTACATGGGGTAGTAGCTGGATTAGACCATCTCTTTATAAATCCCAAGAGAAGGATCTGGCCCAAATTGAAGATGGCTTACTGGTAGATTTCCTTTTGAAATGTATGAATTTAAAGCTATTCTTTCATATTTCAGACAATAGCACCAATTCTGGGTAAGAGGAAAAATCTTCCTCCGTATCCTGTTATACTTATTTGAAGAGGCACCCAAAATAATTAAATATTATATGCAGTTTAAGAAAAATGAATATCAAATACACATGAATAGAAAAATTGAGGAAGCATATTTCTATTGGTGATTATTTGGAGATGCTGATTAATCCATTGTGCATATATTTATGTTTAATTAGAAACTGCAAAGGATTTAGAATGTTATTCTAAAACACAGTCTATTAGCATTATGGCATCATATTCATGTGGTGCAAATAATAATGTGAGAGGATTTTCTTGGTAAACTATTTTTTAGCGACCCTGTTTTATCAAAAGCATATATTTTTACTTGGATGTTATAAGAAACTAAGTCTGAGTATAAGCTGATTTGCTATAATTGGAATAGGCTTATTGCAGTCATTTTACCCCTTTAAAATTATGATACCAGCATTCAAACATCTGTTAAACCATAGCATCTGTTTCATATTTGGGATGCATCCCTACAAATTAGAAGAATGTTCTTTTTAATGAGCTCTGATTTAATAGGGAATCCTTTTTTCATATGACTATTATGCCAAAGAAAGAAAATGAGAAGACAAAAATCCTATCCCTAGCGCCCTCCACAGTAAAGTACCAAAAAGGTCCATACACTTCTAAAATAAAACTGTTTCATGAAGAAAGATCAACGTGAAAGTTAGCTTGTTTTACAATTTAGTATTATTACAGATGTATTATGAATATGTTTGTATATATGTGTGCACACGCACAGGTGTGTGTGCACACATACAGAAGCCAGGAAATGCAGAGAGGGCATACATTCATATTAAGAAAAGCAATCATTTCTTTCAAATACATTGTCTTGCTAATCTATAGGGTCTTAAAAATACCAGGTAAACTCATGACCTCGTAGTGCCTCTATTTACTAGGATTTGTTTGCTCTAACTCCAAAGGCACACTTGTTGCCAGATCTTTATCATTTCAGTTCTATGTGAAGCAGTACTTGCCACTGACTCACTCAGTCCTTTTTAAAAATGATTCCCTTTGGTCTTTGGAAGTTTTCTAGTCATTTGTAGACCTCTATCTGGGTCTGATTTTGTCTTATAAGAAGCATGTCAGCTTAAAGTCAGACAACAAAGGGTTCATTTGTTCCACTGTTAATATACTTCTTTACTGTTTTAGGCCTTTGTGTTTTTTTTGTTTCTAATGTGGACCTCGGCAGACATTAAAAGCTTAATTTAAACATGTTTAGAACTCCTGGATTTTAATGATATAAGTTACCATAAAATTTAGAAGATGATAGGTTGCCCCATTAAATTCAACAAACTACAAAGGATTTATAAAAAGAATATATCACTCACATGAAAAGAAAAAAAGAAAACTCAGAAAGAACTCATTGGAAGGAAGCCAGAAAAATGAGGGGAAATAGAAATTTAATGTAAGAGATTTCTGGTCACCCATTCTGTACCTCCGAATTTGTCTCACCAAAAGAGAAAATGGCTACTCCAGCTATTTCTCCCCATGCTAAAGACGTTTCTTTCACAGAAAAAAGGCAGAGCAGTCGCAGGCAGGGAGAGGAAAGCATGGTAGGTGCCCGCCACAGCAACGACTGCTTGTGGCACCTTTCTCACCAACCCATCCCCCACCAAGTGAGGGCTCTCTGTCCCCCACAGATTTATGAAGGCACATTTTCTACTTTACCAAAGGAAAAGCAGCATTTTAGATCCATGTCACAACAAATGTAGAACTGACAGGTGTTATTAAAACCAGATTTTGAGTCATTTGCTTTCTTCACTAAAATAAAACAAAACCACACAAAGCACACCCCCAAATTAAAATATCAACCACCTGGTTTAAAAGTAGTGTCTTCTCGGAATTTACAGACGCTATAAAAGAATCAGAGAAGAGAAAAATGACCTAGGCTGTTCTTCTGGTTCAGGCTGAACTTATTTCATCAATGTGAGAAAAAAACTGACCTTATTTGACAATACTAACCTGTGAAAAAAGATTCTGCTGTTTCCCTGAGTATCCTTTTCCAGTACTTAGTGACTTTTAGTGGCATAACTCCTTTTTTACCCTCTCATGGTTGAAAATGAGATATAACAACACACTTTATGGTCATAGGGGAGCAGGTACAGTTTAAAGAACATTGTTATGATGAACTTCTGGCATCTCTACGGATCTTATCTCCATACAGAAACTTGCCTCTGCCAGTTGAAAGAGTGCAGACTTTCCACAGCGTTTCACGGGTTCCGCACCACCCAGCTGCGAAGTGTTTGAAGAAATCTGTATTGAAAATAATTCACATAAAGGATATTAATTGTGCCATTAGAATCTTTGCTTCTCATTCATACACATTCAGGAACTTCTTTAGTTTATCAGAACATCAGTGTTCCCAAGTACCAAGTAACTTTAAAGGTGTCACACTTGGGATTGTAATTCTTAAACCAACTTTAGTGAACAACCTCAAAAATAGTAACAAAAACCAGGTATGGCTTGGACAGCTGTTTAAGGACAGGAGTATTATCTTGTACACTCCAGGCTTTAAACTCAATCACTTAAAACAAGATTTGCATTTCCATTTCCATATAAACACCAACTCATCAATTGATCAAATACAAGGGATTTAGTCATTTTGTATGCACCAAAGTGACTAATTTTTTAAGCAATATATGTGGGATCTCTACAATATTTGGAAAAGATAGCATCATCAGTCAACAAACGTTTTTTAGAGAATGCAATGTAAATGTCGTGGGCTATACGATAGGAACTGGGGAAACTAAGAGTTTTATAGAAAACACTGGCCCTGGCTTTGAGAGAATGCTCTAAAGTATACACAAAGATTGAAAATCAAGACCACAAATCTAAATAAGTTATACAGTTAAGGCCTATGCTGAGGCACAACATATCCAACATTACATTGACTGCTGTTCTTTTGCAAATTTGGCCAAACAGCGGCCAGCCACTGATAACAATGAACTGCAATGTCCTTTCTCATTTTTATATGAAAACTTCATTTTCAATTTCTAGCCTAACTCAGTAAAAAGCTGAGGACATACATTCTTAAGGATCTTTACAGAGTATTCTTCCTGGATAAGTTCTGTCATCATTATAGCAGCTAGCTATGGCTTAAGCATTTCATATTCTTCATGATTCTGAATTCTTTCTCAGTTTAAGATAGAAGTATTTCTCAGTTCAGTTTAGGAGGCAGTCCTGCCTGCTGACTATATCCTCACAGGTGACCCCAAATTCCACAGGGGAGTCTGTGGAGCCGTCAGCTCTGGGAGAGACTGGGAGCTTGCTGCTGAAGGGAATTCTCTCTAGAATACCTGCTGAATGAGAGGCCTCTGTCAAGGCCAATATTTAATAAGCTACCTGGGCCATTTAGAAGGGTCTAATTTATGAAACTTTTAAGCACTTTTTCTTCCTAGGTACTATCATTTTTAACAGTTCTTTCCTATTCATCCCAACTAACTTTTTGTTTTATTTATTTTGGAGGGAGTGTGCCCAAGTATTGGAGGGGCAGAGAAAGGGACAGAGGATCCTAAGTGGGCTCTGCATCGATAGCAGGAAGCCCAATGTGAGGATCGAACTCACGAATCAAAACTGAGAAATCATGACCTGAGCCAAAGTTGGATGCTCAATTGACTGAGCCACCTAGGCATCTTGAAACCCCTTTTTTGTTGTTTTTAAAGAAAATTAACTAAATGGGGTTCAATCTTTCTAAGTCTGGAATATTTTCTTCTAGCTAAGTTTTCTCTGATATATGCCACTTATACTTTTTCTAGACAAGATTAATTTAATAAGTCACCTTATCACTAAACTAAGAGAAACAGAAACATAGTCACCACCTCCCAATGACTTGAGGGAATGAAGTACTGAACATACAGAAATGCCAGCGTCTTGAACCAAGGTTGTATAAAAGAAAGAACATGACTTTTGTGTCAGACAGACACACCTTCATTACTTTTTGCTGTGTCAACTTAAGGAAATTAAGACTGAGTCTCATCTACCTCATCTTCAAATTAGAAACAATAATACCTGCCCCATATTACAGTTGTGAAGATTAGATTTTATGTTAATGAAGAGGATGGCACAGTGCTGAGCCCATACTGTATTCTCAGTAAGTGGTGCAATTATTATTAACAAGAATTTATCAACAATAACTTGAATAAACATAAAATTCTTTTAGTACAGTTCCAAAAATTAGTTACACACTAAAATTACAATGTTAGAGGATAATTATGAAATTTAATAATTTGTAGAATATTAAATCTGTCACATAATAACATGACACTCTCAAGAATCACTAGAGGACAGGCTGGGTAGCTCTGCATGGCATAGCCACAATGCGGTCAGGTTCTAGTTCTTACACTGGCTCCCTCTGCTGTTGCTTCTGTTGTAGGTTTATGCTCCTCAACGCTACCTATTTGTTCACTACCACACGCCCTGTGCAGGGACGACTATGGGGGACTGCGTGGATGCATCATCTGCCATTTGAGTTAATGCACAGCTGTCTAAGTAGAGAATTGAGAATGGTTCTTTACTTTTCAAAAGGAACCAGCACCTATGTCTAGTATGAACTAGTTCCTTCATCACCCGTGGGAGGACTTTGACCTATTTATAGGTATAAGGAAGATTTCCAAAGGAGCTTGTATCGGGGGAGGGTAAATGTACTTCCCAACATTTCCATAATCACCTACCAATACAGTTTTCATGGAATGACTGCGGAGAGATATGCTTTCTAAAAGTGACTTTTGGCTTCATAATTTTTGGACATATGGTAATGTCTGTGGCTGGTCCTTATCTTGATTTCTTGGCCACGTTCGATATGGCTAACCTTTCTTTTGGGAAGCTCTTCTCTGGGCTTCCATTACTGGAGCGTTGGTCTTATTTTCTTCCTACACCCCATGGCACTCATTGTTCTTGTCTGTTGGCTCTCTTTTCTCTGGTGACCCCTTAAATGGTTTTCCTCAGGGTTTTGTCTTAGGGCCTTATCTCTTCTTATTTACATATTTCTTTCAGTAATCTGATCTCTTCTGATGGCTTCATTAAAGCTCAAACAATGCTGATTCGTTAGATCACTGTTCTGCTGCGCCCATTTTTTTCCCTATTTAAAAGACTAATGCATCCTTTCAGGTATGACCAACACAGTTAATATGTTCTTCAGTGTCTGGTCTGCTAGTGGAGGCACTGAATGCTCCAGTTATGGGTAGGAGACACTAGTGGGCCATACTGCCTAGTACATTCCTGGCTTTGCTTTTTATTTTCCTCAAATTGGATGGTGCCTGCCAATCTGTTAACTCCACCATAGTCTCTCTCTCCTTTGGCAGTATGGACTGTTCTGATAAAACAGAGTGGGTGTAATAGCATATGATGTACAGCAAATGTGCTAAGAAAAAGGATCACCCTGGATGTTAAACTGTTAATTTTATTGCTGCCTGAGGCAGGGAAGCATACCATGGAAACAGGTAGTAAAGATCAAAAGCAAAGTAGGTAATGGTGGAAGTTCTGCAGTTTCATAAGGGGTATCATAAAACACTGCAGCCTGGGAGGAAATGACTGATAATTACTGAATGAATAAAAGAAAAATAAAAACAAAAGAATAACATGAGATGACTGGTCTTTCTTACCTTAAAAGAAATATTAATGCCTCAAATAAAAACACATGATACTTTCACACTGATTAGCTGCAGTGTGAGTATACAGTTTTTGTCAAGTGTAATATTCTGTAACATATTGAACAGTCCATCATGAAAATGAATGCTTTAAATTTGCACCTATTGCTTCCATCCAACGGTGGCAATGCCTTAAATTTGAGGAGATTATGGTTGTATTTATATTGGCAAAGTAAATACCTTGTAAGGGAAGTTTTAATGTCCAAATTTATTGGTCTAAATCATCCAGATTAGTTCTCTGTCTTCAAAGTAAATATGTAATATTTCAATGCAAAGATATATTGTAGGTGTAAGAGTCAGCCAGACAACAGAAAGGAGAATATGGGAACTGGTCATGGCTTCCAGACCTGTTAAATAATAGAACACAATAGCTCCCTTCTGGCGTTATATGTGGTCATTAGTCTTCAGTAAATGAGATCTAAAATGTGATGGATGCGTCACTCTACCTGTAAACAACAAAAGATGCAGATAGGAAACTCACTCTGACCAATGTAATGGATCAGAGCCAGGAAACATAGTGACAGCTCTTCAGATGGGCCAAGGTGAACACAGATGAATTAGGGATATCAGTAAGGAATGGAGACAGGCTGAAATGGAGGGGGAGGTGAACAGGCTTTACACTCTGTATTTCTTTCTAGATCTTGTAAAGCAGATATATTTTTCTTTCTTTAAACAGAAGCCTTTGCGGGGAATCTCCAAACAAAATGTTCTTTATTCAGTTTCATGATTCCATGCAGGTTAACTTCAATGAGTTTTGAAACTATCAGACTTGATTAAGAAAGAAAAACCATCCTTCTTAGTTTGCAAGGCAGGGACCCAGGACTTGGTGTGAAAGAAAAAACAATGTCAACTTAAAGAACTGCCCGGGGCTTACTGTTTCTTAAAAAGTGTGTGTCTAGGACAATTGTTTCACACAATAAATGATCCACTGCCAAGAGAAGATCTAGTTAATCTCTTCCCAAAGTTATGAATGTTTGTAAATCAAATTAGCAGGAATGGTCTCTAAGCATTTTGGATGCCTGACCTTAAAATAACATTAAAAAGCTAAATGGTTTTAAGGGGTAAATTGTTTCCTAAATCATATAAATCCCTACTTTTCTCTAAGTGTACATAATAGGATGGAAATCCCTCTGAAAAGAGGTGGGGCTGTAAGTGGGCCATTGAGTAGATTTCCATTACATGTGCATCCCCTTTCCAGTTCACCCTTTCCCCATGAGATCCCAGAGATACTAGAAAGTGTCTTAACAATGACGATTTAATAACTCATGGTAACAATTATAAATTACAGAGCAGTGACCTCAAACTGTTTTCCTAACAGGAAACTTGTTAGAAATGCAAATTCCCAGGCCTCCCCACCCCCCAGACTTAATAAATCAGAGCCCTGGAAGTGGAGCCCAGCAATCTGTTGTTTGAACAAGCCTCTGAGGGGGCTTTGGTGCATTTTAAAGTTTAAGAGCCTCTGCAGTAGACTAATTAAAACAAGAATTTCAAGAGTCTTTATGTTTTCTCAAAAGTGATGGGTGTTATAGGAAATAATTATAAAAGTTTTAGGGATATGATTACAATTAGTAATTATAACTTATTCTATTTCTCCTGCAATACATGTGCTCATATCATAGCAGATTTTAGTAGATCATTTTATTAGTTTATGTAGTTAGCTCTTGTTTAGCATTGAATTAAAACAGCTCCAAATGAAGCCAATAATGTGGTCAGACCATAAGATGTCAGAGATTGAAACTTAGGGTTCTCTTGGGCCAGCTTAGGTAAGTGGTCAGAGAAGTTACATTTCCTTAGGGAACTGTGTACTTCTATTGTATAATCATATATAACAGTTACAATTAATAACCAAGCAAGAAATTATTTAATTTGCTTAGGAATGAAAAGGGCTCATATTATGCATAATCTATGCCAAGTATAACTAGGAAAAATAATATACTGAGTTGACAATAGGAATTGCATTTGAATTTAGGGAAAAATATTTTATTTTGATTTTTCCACCACGCATGCCTTCCTCTCTGATGAGGTCTTGAAATAACTCTAATCATTTTCAAACTAACAATTTTTTATATGTCTCCTGATTAAAACTCAAAAGCCCATAGAAGGTAAGCACTACTGAGCAGAGGAGTGAAATCTGCAAACATCTTCCTGCACAGCTTCCAAGTGAGAAAAGGTTCTTTTCTTTCTTGGAAAAAACAAAAATCAAAAAAACCAAACCCTTCTTGGAGCGCCTGGGTGGCTCAGTCAGTTAAGACTCTGACTTCGGCTCAGGTCATGGGTGAACTCAGGGCTCCTGAGTTCGAGCCCAGTGTTGGAAGCACTGCAGAGCCTGGAGTCTACTTCAGATCTTGTCTCTCTCTCTCTCTGCCCCTCCCTCTCATGCGCTGTCTCTCTCAAAAATAAACATTTGAAAAATTTATTTAAAAAAAAAAAAAAAACAACTTCTCATGCTTTAAGGAGTGCGCATACTGAGTAGTAAGGACTATTTAAGAGAGGCTGGAATCTCATTCTCCAGAATCACTGGACAGCCACTGTTAGAGCTGCCCAGTTCCTCGGAGCTGCCCAGGGCTTCAGGAGCTCTTTATAAATATGGTAATAGTATCACTTAAATAACAATCACGCTCTGAGTGAAGGTAATTGTTGGAAACACCAGCTGTGATAGCCCATACTGACATTTTAAAGGAAGTTGAATACTCTCGGTAGTTAATGCGTTATCAGGTGTGTCAAAGTCCTGCTACAGAGTGTAAAATTTAATCAAACAGAATATATGGGAAATACATTCTGTTTTGAGGAAAATATTTCTAAAAAGTTGCATGGGATTGGCTCAGGCATCAAGATTACAAATTCAGTCACTCCCAAGATTCTTTTTTAACTCTTAAAAAAAATTATTCGTATCAAATACATGGATGCCAACAACTGAAGGAAAGCAAGAAAGTAAACAAAATGATTTCCCCAGACTGGAAATAACAGTCTGCTTATCATAATGAAAAATTATAATAAAATCCTAATTTATTCAGATTCATCAAGGAAATTGTTCTTCATAAATGGTAGCATCATATGATATGTTTGTTACCAGTTTATAGACTAGCCCTCAACAACCAAAGCAAATATCGTGTCAGAGAAGCCTAACAGATAAGCAGGCCAACTAGTGGTGTAAAGTCACAGTGGTTGATACAAGTGTCCCAAGAGGAAGCAGGATTTCTTTTTTGAATGTAAAAGCTGAAAGTAATTTTTCCTCATTTTCAAAGTAAGATGCTGAGTTTTCTCCTGCCAAAAGGATATCATTTTACATTTCATTTATGCAGCGCTCTTTATTCAAATGAATCAGAGTGATTCAATACATCAATATTAAACAGAACAGTCCTGCTTGTCATTTTCTCTCAACCCTTTAAAAAACTGCTTAGTTTAGGAGATGTATTTTTGGTTGGAATTAATAAAAACGGAAAAGGGGGAAAGACCAAAAGCAGACACCATATTATTTTCATGACCTGTCTGCATTTTATTATTTGTCATACAGGGTCATTAGGAGTGAGCAGCATATGGTTGAGGCCAGGGCTTTTGTGGTAAAATCAAGCATATCAGATGTGCCTCTTCACACTAAGTAATCGCTCTCTAGCATGTGCTCTCTCTCTGGCTGACAAACCAAAGAAATCTGAGATCCTGTAAGAGCTGACCTGATCTAAGCCTGGGATTAAACACTAATAAAAACGCTGGCTGAAACTACATCACATTGAAAGCTAAGTACTGATGATTTAACAGGTTGTATTCACCACTGCACCCACTGTGAGTTATTCATAAATTACAACATTTAATTTCGCTACTAGAAAAATTTAATAAATTGGAATGCTCTGGCCTTCACGTGGACAGTAGTTTTTCTCAAGCTTTTAAAATAAAAACAAGGTAAAACAAAATAAAGTAATTAGTGGAAAGGGTCTATTCTAAATGAACTCCTTAATGAATGTTTATAAAATAAATACAAAATATGGAGCTGATCTATGACTATAGCAAAGGCAGCAAAAAGCATTATGTATTCCCTTATGTGCATTATTTTCCTAATGGCAAGAGGCATGCCTAAAGTCTGCTATGTGTTATTAAAACTCCATTCTAATATTTCCTGAGCTCAGTAACTTTCTGAGCCCAATAGTCATTTAAAAACAAAAAAAAAGAGGCCATACCTCTGCAAACTGAAACAAGGCTGAGGCTTGACACTGCTTCGAAGAAGCATCAGGGTGAGACGTACTTGAAGATATCTGAAATGAAACAAGCAATTTTTAATGCACAAGGACATTTTCCCATATCAGACTAATAGATTTAGCCATATATTTCCACTGTCGACACTGATAAAGATTAAGACATGAATCATCCCTCTTAATGCTTTTTAGAAGAACAGTATAAATGATAAAGGAAGACAAAGGCCATGTGTCTAAAAACAGATGATGGGAAGAACAAAAGACCACGACTGGCTCATTTGCCATGTCTCTTGTAGGATATCAGGTATGTTGCAAACAGCAGTTGACTTGAGATGAATTGCTTTATTTCGATATATTTTTAAAAATATTATTAAAAGCTAGAAGCTGCAAGAAAGTCAGTCACTCTCTCCTACACCACTCCCCTCAAGCTGTTCTCTGCTTAGAGGCAGCTGGGAAAAAGTGTTGGAGAAGCATATGGATGTGGCTCAGGGTACCTGGGATTGAATCTTAGCTTGCTGCTCACTAGCTACATGACCTTGGGCAGCTCAGGTAATCTTTCTAAGACTTATTTTTCCCAACTGTAAACTGACAATGATGATGAAGAGAATAATCCCCATTTTACAGGATTATGGTGAAAAGAAAACTGCCTGGCATAGCACCAGCACTGAATAAATTATTCACTGAATAGGAACATCATTTCTTTTGTAGCACCATGCACGTGCATATGTGCACACATGAACACACACACACACACACAACTCTCTTTCTCTCTCCCTCTTACTTTCACTCTACATGAGTCTGACACTGGATAGAGGATTCTGCCATACTACACTTGGTTCAACTAGACCTTTCTTTTTCACTCCGTATATGGTAGCCTCCTTAAGTATGCTCGGATGGCCACATGGAAGCACTTTTCAAAGATCTTTCGGGAACAAAGTCAGTTATTAATTTCGGTTCCAAAGTGAATAAAACTTCTATCTAGCTACAAAATAGGAAGAGTGTGAGTCACAAGAGCAAAAAGCCTCGGCATTATGAATTCAGCCCCTTCCCAGTCCCATAAAAGTATTGTTCTTCAATTAACTGGGCTCATCAACTCCATCAAAGGGTACTTGCTAAGCAATAAAATGCACCTTAATCATAATTCTTCAACCGGAGAAGTCAATTTTTTTCATCTTAATTAAATTAACCTGGTTAGAAAAACCATGGAGGCAGTTGGTGATACAGTACCAAAGTAACGTTTAGGGATGAGAAAGAATTAGTAAAGAGACTGATGGAATTATTGATTTTATTCACTGCTGAGGGCATTAAGAAAATTTTGATGCCACTGTAATTAGACATAGAAGCATCTTTAGAATAAACATCAGTAAAAAGAAAAAAATATCCAGATCCTATTCAACAAAGTAGATATAAAACCATCATCGTGAATGAGTAAAATTTAAACAAGTGTTTTAAAGACATTTGAAGGTAAAATTGAATGCTTCTTCGTCAGATCGTGAAATGTTATCATTTCAAAAGAACATCATATACAATGTGACAGACTGCAGGTATGAGTCCACAAGAACTTTACTGAAGTCCTAGGAATTCTGAATTGAGTAGGTCTTACTTCAGAGAGCACTTTTGATTCCTATCAATTCTCTTTAAAAGTTAAAGAAAACAAAACAGTTTAGGTAAGGAAAATTGCCTAGCCTATATTTCTTTGAAAATTAAATATGACAATGAATGAAATGGAGAAGCCACTGGCATCAACCAACTAGATTTTTGAAAAGCATTTGACAAGTTTCTAAACAAGAGATTTTCTTTATAAATAATTATTGGGACAGATACTCAGTCAATGACATGAATAGGGAGCTCCTGAAGAAATATAGGATTAGGAATGGGGACTCTTTCTATAAAGCAACAGAGTTAGGGATCTCTTTCAAATCTTAGGTGTGTTACAGAACCCACAAAAATACACATATGTCAATACAAAATTTCATGTGAAATTTTAGGGTTTTCATTAGATCTTTAGATTCAGGGATCACTGGCCAAGCATTTGTGCTTTCAAAATTGGGACCAACAGTACTTAACATGTCTATAACTACTGTTTAAAAGTTGAGTGCAAAGTGAATCCTCTGTAACCTTAAATTTTTGAGGAAATAATGTATAAAAGAACTGGAATTCACAGCATATCTCAAACAGAGGTAGAAAGGAAAGTGATAGATAAGGAATATCATGTGAGCAAATATGTACTATCAAGGCATTTATGTATATTATAAACAATATCTCAAAAGGAATGGTCTTTGCCTTTGTGAGTCATGGTTTTGCCAATGAAATTCTGAGATCCACCAGGAAAAGACACTAGAGAAGAAAAAAACCTGAAACCAAAAATATGTTCTCTTTGTACAACACCTAACACAATGGCAAATGTTAGGAAGGAAGGATGACAGAAGGTCTAGTAAAAGATAATTCAAATGATTAAGGGAAGACCACTTTGTTTAAGGTTTAATTAAGTATGGCTTCATATTGAGTTCTATGGTAAATGAAGATATTTGGGGAAGTTGTCTTAACTTTATAAATTCGACTTTAGGGATAAAATAATGTGCTTTCCTACATCATCTCTGAAGCAATGTTGGAAACATAATGAGTCAAACAAGTTTGACATAAAAATGCCAACGGCATGTTAAAGTTTCAATTTAGAGCAAAGTGCCCTTTTTTTTTTTTTAAAGGAAAGTAATGCATAGCCAATAAACATGAGTTAATTCCATCTTCTGATTTAACAACTGATAAATTAACAGCAAAAAATTGACTAAGTTCTAACAACAGTTTAATTGTATTCTTAACTTTACTATCCATGAATAAAAATTAGTGATGCGGCTTAAATGTAATATTTACTATGACTTAATAACAAGTTTCTAGAAACATAAAGTTATTCCTTAATTGACAGACTGTGGCATTCCAAAATTTGATTCTATTTTCCCATCTATGGTTAATTGAGCTAAGGAGAGCTCTTCATTGCTTTAAGTTATGTCATCAGCCTAAATTTAAGCTCACAATACAATCTCATAAGTATAAATTGTAATATATTACCTCAGCAAACTGAAATAATGGTGATTTCTGACGCAATTCAGGGGATTCTGAAACATCCTGCCTACAACTCCCAGAAGATACCTGAAACAAAAAAAGATGGTGTGAGGCATCATAGTTTCTAGAAGACAACAGATGACAAATGCCACCTGTATCTTCCTATTTGAGGAAAGAACAGTTTTCATTCCCCTGATTTGAGGCAAACTATGACCAAAAAGTAGTTCTAGTCTGCAAAGTCTTATACAAGGTGCCATCCAAGAGCTAAAGCAGTAACAGCAGGAGATGGACAAGACACTGCATTTTATTTTATTTTGTTTTTTAAAAATTAATGTTTTATTTATTTCTGAGAGAGAGAGAGGGAGAGAGAGACAGTGTGATCAGGGAAGGGTCAGAGAGAGAGAGAGACACAGAATCTGAAACAGGCTCCAGGCTCTGATCTAACTGTCAGCACAGATCCCGACGTGGGGCTCGAACCCACTAACTGTGAAATCATGACCTGAGCTGAAGTCAGATGCTTAACCAACTGAGCCACCCAGCACCCCATTTCATCTTTTGGTTTTCTGCCACCAACTCCAAAAAAAAATCTACTTCTTTTGCATTGTTTGTTTTCCCAATATTTTAGATCACCTAACTGCATTAAAATACAAGTGAGATCTGATGATATAAATCTTCTGGGAAAGCAAAACTAAAGTCAAATTCTTGTTTTCTAGGTGTTCATGTGTTTGTACACAAACGCTAATCACAGAAAAGTCAGTACTTGCCTAAGAGTAATTTCTTTCACAACATGTTTTCTTTTGCACTATGTAGACATTTAGTATTCTGCAATCTTCATTTGCCATCCTTATTATTAACAAGTTATAGAAATACCACTGAATTAAAAAAAAATTCTTGCTATTAATTGAGTACTCTTATCTAGAAGGACACTTTCTCTTTTATCTCATTGCTAGAAAGGACCTATTCCTGTATTTGGGTGATATAATTGCTTAGGAAGCCAACTGTTAATTCAAAAGTCAGTAAAGTCACAGAATGTTGGGACAAGGATATTGTTATTCTTCTGATATGACTCTTTTTAGAGATTAAGAAATTTAGGACTAGAAAAATAAAAGACACCTCCCCTCCCCAACATTCAGTAATCCCTTTGTTCTTTATCTTTAGCACTTATCACAAGACATAAATATTTGTTTATTGTCTACCTTCTCCTAGGGCCCTAGTTTAATAAAGAATCTTCAACACTGCCTGCTCACCATGTCAACAAGTATTTTATGAATAAGTAAAAGTTGACATGTCTTCTAAATCCTAAATCAATTATCTTCTCCCCCTTTCCTAAATGACAGCATTAGGAAATCTTAGGGAAAAAGTCTCTTTTACTGTAGAGGCAAAACAAGTTAAAAATAGTTTTTAATAACATATTATGGACAATAAAATAATCCAAATTCACTTTTGCAAATCCGAACAAAAGCAAAATATGGAAGAAAAATCATCTGCAATGCTATCTGCAAAAGACACACACTGTTAACACTCATATATATTCTTCCAATTGTGTAAGATTATTTTTCAACAAAAATGAGGTACTGTAATACAGTTAAAAACTGTTCTTTTTTAAACAATACATTATTTTTCCGTGTTATCAAACCTTTTCCAATGTAATTTTAATAGCAGCATGTGATTATGTTAGGTGGTTGAGTCCTGTGGAAACACTTGACGGTCACCCAGATTACATTACTAAAAATGGGAACTCTCACTTAAGCTCTTCATTAGTGTCACAGGTGAGCAGGCAGGAACCAGCACTCGAAATTTTATTTGTCATCTTTGGATTCGAAAGAGTAACGGGCACTTTCTTCTAATGATAAACTCCAGAGAAGGGTGCAGAACCTTTTGTTCATTTGCTACCTGTGGCCTGGCTGTCAAAGCCTGGTCCCCTCACTGGCACTTGACTATCTGACAAACTGTATGCCAAATGGCCTAATCCTGCTTCCCAAGAATCTGAAGTCAAGGAGACACAAAATGCACCAAAAAGAAAGCCAATGAATACTGAAATTACCGGCCACAAAGAATTTCTTCATTGAAAAGAATACCTGGGCAAAAAATAGCTTTATTTAGTAATGATGGAAAAAAACAACAACCCATCAATACCTTCTTGGTTTATAAAGAAATCCTTTATGTTTAGCTCCTAGATATCTTGGTAAATAATCAAAATTTTATTTAAAATCAAGCCTAGGACTAAATTAAGATTGTAAAGAGTCTTAAAATTTAATAATATAGGTTGCACATGTGACATAATCTACAAAAATTATTTGAACTCAAATAGATTTAGGGTAGCTACACTGCACGCAGATACCGTGTATGAGGAGATTAGATGCCCTGTGGCTTAGGGTTCATATGAACTATAGAAAGAAAATTCAACTTTCTCTTCAAGTTGTTTATAAATTATCTGGCCATAATTACATAAATCACAACGTTTTAAAATTAAGTGAGATTCTCTGCAAATCATTATAATGGATGGTCTTAAATAAATTTGAATAGAGAATTCAAATGTAATCCATAATCCTGAATGTTGTATCAACTGTGCTGTGCTGTCAAAGAAGTCTACATATGCAAGTGTGTGCCCACCATGTACATGATGCATGGTAAATGAATACTCTGACTGACTTGATTCTGTGTGTGTGTATGGATACCAGAACTCAACGACCTGGCCAGGAATCACACAACAAAGACTGACCAATGGTTGAAATAGTAGTAACAGAATCTCTAAGGCTATGTAACATATTTTAGAGGACAATCTCAAAATCTAGTTACTCTTGTTTTTACTCATAAGTATAAGGCATTAATTTCTCTTGACTTTAAAGCCATGTGGACTTAACCTATATTTTCAGGGTACTGTAAGGAAACAGCACAAAAGGAGGAGCCAGGAGAATTGGGTTACTACTAAGCTATGTGGTTACCTGCCTCTCTAGTCCACAGCAGACTTAGAAGCCGCAAATCAGAAGGGGACAGGAGTAGAATAAGAAATAGGAGGGGAGTCGCAAAAGAAACAATACCAACAGCAAAAAGACACAGGGAGAAGACAGAAAAACTGTAAAGAACAGACACAAAAATTTGTAAAGCACTGTTGTCTATCTAAAAGAAATTAAAGTAGAGCAAAGAGTCTCAAGGTTTCTCCTGAAGGCTTCAGTTCACTGCAGCAATTAATATTTATTAACTATGGTTCTAAGTTGTCAAGATAAGGATAATTATAAAACATAGCCTTTATTAAAAGGCAGAAATGTATGTGATACATGCTAGGCATATTTCCATCAAAAATCTCAAAATGTAAATACGGTTCAATGACATGGAAAATATATGTGTGTAGAATTTATTCTCATGTGCATGATAAATAAGGCATCCAATGCAAGCGTGTACATTCGCGCATACACTGATTAATATACACATCTGGCAACGAAATCTAGGAAATATCCATGTAAAATTAAGAGAGTACTTCGCATAAAAGGCTCCTATTTAAGTATTAGAGGGTCCTAGGCCTTATCGCCTTGCTATTTGTATTTATAGTACTCTAAACTATTTATGACATGGCGTATGCTTTTTATGGACAAACATCAATTCCTCTATCTCCATTCCTATGCAAGAGCCAGCTTACTTTCTAAATATAACAAAATAAAAGAGAGTAAGAAAAGATCTTTTCACCAATTAAGAGGAAAGAAAAGACACCAAATAAGCAGAGATTAAATAAAGAGAGAAAAAAACACCAAAAAAGCTGTTTAACCTAGAGTCTCTGAAATAATCCAAAAAGCCACTAGGTGTAGCTATCTGCCCAAGAAAGAAACAGCTAAGGGGATTTTTTTAAAAGCAAAATTTTGTTAACTTCTCTTAAATCCAATCTTCTCTTTGATTTAGCTATAATTCTCAATAACCAAGAAAGGGGAATTATTAGCACAATGAAGAATTACAACAAAGTAGTATCTTCTTCCATAAGCATACTTCGTATCATGAAACCAGTAGATATAGAAATGCGACCCAGCCTCCTGATATAAAAAAAAATCACACCAGTTAGATGCACTGTAAGTGCTTTGGAAAGGTAGGTATTAGCAAGAGCCTGTTCCCACTTCACAAGGCACAAGACTATAGCCATACACAGCAGGATTCTGATGCACACACATGGTCAACAAAAGGGGTAAGTGCACTGGTTCTATTTGAACCATACATTTCTGCCCTTGCTAATCCAAACATTTGTTGATAGTTACCCCTTCAACAAATACACAATAAAAACCTATGATGTGCCAGCCACAAAGACTGCTCACTGCTTTTAAGAAACTTACATTCCACTCATACACATTATACGCTAGGGGATAAAATGGTAACTAAGGGAATGTAGTTTGTGATCCAAGTCCAGGGGACAGCTACAAAGTTAAGGGGTATGTGCACAATGGTGAACTGCCACAGAGAAGCAGCCTTCACTCCTGGGACAGAAAGAAGCTAAGGTAGTAACATCTGAGATATCCCAAGGAGAAGCACCAGGATTGCCGAAATGATGTGACAACAACAGAAGGAGAAGTGTGGAGGTAGATGCCCTGTGTGTTTGAGAAACAACGACTTTCTCAGTGCGGATGAAGAGTACAAGCCTGGGAGTGTAGTGGGAGATGAATCAAACTGAGAAATTTGAATTCCATGTTACAAAGTTTGAAAATTAGGCTGAAGGCAATGGGGAGCCAGCCAAGGTTTTCACTCAGAGGAGCAGCATGATGAGAGATATGCAGTTAGGTAATTCTGTCACTGGAGTGCAGGATGACCTTGGCTGGGAAGTGACTGGAGGCAGGAGACCAATTAGAAGGTTAAAAAAATAAACCAGCTGAGATGTGGGGCCCCAATTAAATCAGAGATGGTATTTGCCAGGCCCCAGTAATTGCCTGGAAGGATGTCAGGGCTGAGGGAAAGGGGTCAGACAAAACCTTTCACTGAAAGAGAGAATCTGAAGAAAAGTTTGGGGGTGGGGGGTTGTCTTCTATGGGAGGAGAGGGTTTAGGAGTAGAGGATTCCATTTCAGACTTCAAGTATAAAGATCCCTGTGATGCCAAGGGCCAGTGATCTGA